TATAGCGTGCATGTTGCTATTATGTGCAACAGATGGCATGTTTTTCAAAAACTCATGTTTTTACCTGTCAGAGGGGTGGCATCTATATAGTAGGTATATTAGAGGACGCGCCTATTCGAATACAACGTTGTGTCAAAATTTCAAAGCAATCGGTAAAGAGGTTTCAAAGATTTCTCTCACATGAAAAACACAGTTTTTCAGAAAAGCATGTTATTTTTACCGTCACAGACGTGACATCTATATAGTATGTATATAAAAATCTGCTCAGATCCAAATGGAACGTTGTGTGAAAATTTCAAAGCAATTGGTGAAGAACTTTCGGAGATTAGCAGTTATGCACAAACGAACATTTCCATTTTTATAAATAGACGATCAGGTCTACGTTTTGGTTAGGACTCGTGCTTTTTACTCCTTTATGGATTATTTCTTTCATTATTCTTTCTTCTTTTTTATGTTCACTGTGCATAGTTGATTTGTAATATAATTTTATTAGAGGCGCTGTGGTTTCTGTTCTAGGTTAAGGATTGTACCATCCATCCAGGTGTCTTCTTATAGCAGTGTTTATTTCCGTGTTGCTATATCCGTTGTTCACCAATACAGTACCTGAGTTATTCTTTCAAACTCTCTACTCACGTTGCTCCATTCGGAGCAGTGTGTAAGCGCTCAACGAATATAAGCATTGAGAACACCAGCTTTGTATCTTTGGGGGCACTCACTCTTACCGTTCAGGCATAATCCTATGTTGGTAGGTTTAGTATATACGCTGGTGCTTAAAGAGGTTCCTGTTTTTGTTATTAGTACATCCAAGAATGGCAGGCTGTTATTTTCACTATTTTCATGTGTAAATCGGAGTACTGACTCTTTCTAGATGGCTTTTAGATCAATTAGTTCATCTGAGTCTTTTACTATGATGAATATGTCATCTACGTAACGGCAGTATACTGTATATTGGTTTTTATCTACTACTGAATACTCTATCTTCGATGGTTCCCATGTAAAAATTAGTGAATAACACTCCTAAAGGAAAGCCCATCGCTACTCCGTCAATTTGTAGATACATGTCCCCTTGCGGACTGATGAAAGGAGCTTCCTTTGTACATGCCTCGAGAAGGCTTTTCAAGTATGGCTCAGGTATGTCTAATTTGGGGGTGCTCTCGTCTCTGTATACTCTGTCCAGTATCATTTCTATGGTGGTGTCGACTGGGACATTGGTAAATAGGGATTCGACGTCCAGGAAAGTAATAATTCGATCGGACTGTGTAGTTTTGATTAATTCTAGGAGGAACTCTGCTGATGATTGTAGACTATAGTTGCTTGGAGTATATGGAGTTAGGAGTTCATTAACTCTTTTTGCCAGATGATAGGTTGAGTTGGTATTTGACTGATTATTGGACGTAGTGGGTTACTGGTTTGTGTCTTAACATTGCCATAGGCATATCCTAAGCCATAGTCGCCCTGGAGTTTAGTGAAATGAACACTACCTTTAAATGAACAAATCCACAAGGGCCATGATGAGGATTCGAACCCGCGTCCGAGAGCATCCCAGACGCTGCTTTAATCGACTGAGCTACGGCATGGTCAAAAGGAGTTGAAACCGAAGTTCTACTGAACTTACTGGATCCTGCAGCCTCTCCGAGACACAAACCCAGGGTTTTACTCCCCCCATGCACTCGAGCTATGTCAATAGGCCGTTCTCCCTCTTTGCCCTTACTTCATTACACACAGAAATCACAATTGCGTGATGCATCAAATGAACAACACAGTGATTTCTGTGTGTAATGAAGTAAGGGCGAAGAGGGAGAACAGCCCATTGACATAGCTCGAGTGCATGGGGGAGTTGTGTAAAACCCTGGTTTGTGCCTCAGAGAGGCACAAACCAGGGTTTCTGTTGTTTTGCTGCTTCTTTGAGTCGTGGGGTTAAGATTGTTGATGAGTATGTTTCTCGTTTTTCCCCGCTTCTGTTAGTAGTTCAGCCTGAAGTGTGTCAGTGGTGATGACTTTTTTGTTGTCTTTTAGCTTGTGTATGTCGTTCAGAAGCATTTTGATTTCAAGGCGTTTTTTATGCTTCTTTGGTTTAGATATGAATTGACAATTTAGACCAAGATTTAAGAGGTCTCGTTGGTGCTGGTTAAGATCTTGAGAAGTAAGGTTAATGTAGCCATCGTTTGGACGAGGGATCTTTAACTGTCCACCGTTTAGGGCTGTTAACTTATGGAGTGTCTTCGTTTCTACACGAGTTTTGTGTTGCTGTTTCAGGTTAAATAGTTCACTGTTGATGGTTTGCTCGAGTTGGTTGGGGATGTCGTACTGGGTCCATTTATTTAACTGATGTTCAGCGTGCTCTGTAAGCGGTCTGGAGGGCTTCCTTCTTCGTGTTGATACCGTATGAGATCTTGCCTATACTGTACCTATAGGTAAACTCTGCGTTGCGGACTACTGGGTCATGTGGTGTATATTGGCAGTAGGTTTTCTTTTATACATGTCTTATTGAATATGTCAGCATATTTTGTATTAACTATCTTCTTGTTTAGGGCTTCTATCCCTCTAACAAGTGTTCTTGTATCAGGGTTTAGATGGAAGAGGAGATCTCCAAAATCTCAGATCTCTGTTTGTTTTCAAGGTGAAGAAAAAAGTAAATAACTTTAGAATGTATTACACTTATTATACAAATGCACAATGTTTCGAACCTACATAGTTCATTCTCAAGTGATAAGAAATTACAAATCGCCTTAGATTTATAATAGTACGAGGTCAGATGAATAAACAAATAAAATAAAGGAAAAAGGAAAGGGGGCAAATAGGGGACGAAGCACATACAATGATTTATCAGGTGTAATAAGCCTATTATGTTGAGCAGTGTCTTCTGTGTTGGCATTGTTATGTTCCGGAATTGTTCTTACTCTCATGGTGGGCAGAGTAAATAGTTCTGTAATGTGGGTATTCATGGTAGGTCGTTTTATCTTTATGTGGATTGCTTCAAGAATGTGTTCACCTATAGGTATAGGCAAGATCTCATATGGCATCAAGGACAAGAGCTATGAGGAGAGGTTAGAGGCATTACATATGCAAAAACTAGAAGATAGAAGAAAAAGAGGCGATATGATCACTACGTACAAAATAGTAACAGGAATCGATAAAATTGATAGGGAAGAATTCCTGAGAATTCCCGGAACTTCAAGAACAAGAGGTCATGGATTTAAACTACTGTAATGAAACAAAGCTGCCGGAGAAATATAAGAAAAATCACTTTTGTAAACAGAGTGGTAGACGGTTGGAACAAGTTAGGTGAGAAGGTGGTGGAGGCCAAAACCGTCAGTAATTTCAAAGCGTTATATGACAGAGTGCTGGGAAGACGGGACACCACGAGCGTAGCTCTCATCCTGTAACTACACTTAGGTAATTACACTTTGGTAATTACACAAGTTGTTACATTCTTGTGCAGCCACTAGCACTCACAGCGATTCAGGCAGATCCTTAATTCTAATGTTCCCCAGAATACGACCCGTTTTATCGTTTAACAACCCGGTACCCATTCACTGCTGGGTGAACAGAGGCTACAGTTAAAGATTGGCGCCAAGTAAATGCTCCCCGGCCAGGATACGAACCCAGTGTTTTACCACTGCGCCACAGGGACTGGGAATGAAAAATATACCATAATTTTGTGACTGTAAATTTACTAATAATGCTTTTATCTTCAAAATAAAAAAATATAATATATACAGGTATTATGACCAATAGAGGGTCCAGAATGCTCCGAGCCCTAGGGCCCTCCAGTACAGTGGTACCTCGGTTTACGAATGCCCCTCTTTACGAACTTTTTGGGTTACGAGCCCTATTTCTTCGGAAAATTTGAATCGGGTTACGAACTTTATCTCAGGATATGAGTTTGTTGATACGCGTATGGCCGACCTAGCGCATGGTGGCACGGCAATCGCACCTCAGTTTACCAGTGCCTCCTGCCAAGTGACTATCCCGCCTGAATTCTTTGCAAGGATTTGCAGTTTTTTTGGATTTTTGGCTATTTGAGCATAAAAGTTGTTATTATATATCTTGCCATGGGTCCCAAGAAACCCAGTGGTAAGGTTCAAGGCAAGAAAACACATGTGAGAATGACCATAGAGGAAAAACAAGAGAGCATTCGTAAACATGAAAATGGTACATGTATTGTTGAACTAGATAGGCAATACAACAATTCTTCAGGGGAGGAGGAGGCAGTAGAGGATGTCCGTTCTTCATTAATTAAGAAAATATGTGCAGTATGGGAAGAACTGCAAAGTTTTGCTGAAAAGAATCACCCAGATAAAGCTGTAGCAGGCCGTTGCATTGACCTTATTAATGACACTGTGATGTCTCTCTACAGACAAGTGTTACAAAGAAGGGAAAAACAATCTTCAATGGAACAATCTCTAGTGAGAAAATCAAGCAGTGAGCCTGAAGCAGGTCCTAGTGGTATACAGGCAAAACGTGCCAGTGTGTGTACCCCAGAGAAGTAATCACTGCCTGATGTTATAATGGAAGGGGACCCCCTTTCCAAACAGTACAGTAGCACCTCTCCTTCTCACCGTCTTCCATATGCCAACAGGAGTCATCAGTAACAGTATGTAATAACTTGTACATACTTTTGTACTTAAGATTTGGGTGAAGTAAGTATAAAATTTACTTTGAAGTAAATTTTTTGGGGAGTCAGGAATGGATTAATTCATTTCCCATTATTTCTTACGGGGAAATTCGCTTCGGTTTACGAATTTTCGGGTTACGAACCGTCTCCAGGAACGGATTAAATTTGTAAATCGAAGTACCCCTGTACCTATGATCTCAACACAAGATTCAAGTTTTGTGACAATCTGTGTAAATAGAGTACTCCGATAGTTCTACATATCAGATTTTACTATTAACATGTACTGTATTAAAATACATTTACAAATTGAAACATCTTTACATACAAATTATTTAACCTTTTAAAGAACTGTAAATTAACAATTATTCTTATGGGTACATACCTGTCCTGTAATGTAGTTGAATGTTAGAGGCTCCCATCCCTCATTTTCATGCTCAAGCAGCCTGGTTAAAGTTGAACGGAGATGAGTTGGTCTCAGACGTTCCCGGCCGACCCATGCTATTAGTGCAGCATGACCAATATTTTGGTCTCCTTTGAGAGGCCCTTGTGTTGTCGATCCCATACTGATGGTCAAATTTAGTAGTGATGCAACTGTTACTCTATTACTGAGTAAACTTAAATGCTTCGACAATTTCCATACTGATGACAATACTTGCTAGTGCCTCGGGTGTTCACACAAACAGTTGGCATTCTATGAGATGCTTTAGAATGCTCTGTGCTGATACCCTGAGGCATTTATTCATCTAATGATGTAATCTGTATCCTTGATCCTGTTGCATGATGTAGTCGTTACCAAAGAAAAGGCCTGTTTTTAACTCTCTATATTCATTCCATCATCAATGTGTAAAGGTTTTGTTTTTTGAGATCTTGAATTTTATTTACATTATTAATATCTATTTCCAGAGATTAAAAACTGTAGCCTCTTGATTTAAATTTATATCATGCCAAGTCACTCCTTAATCGAATGAGCCATATCTGGAAAAAAAAATCAATTAGCATATTCCCTTAAAGGAATCTGGTATTCTAGAAATTTTCAAATGCTTATTCTTAATATAAGATGTGAAAGTACATTATAGACAATAATAATGGTAACCAATCAATACCTGTACTTGATTTCATTATAAATACCAGTATATTTAAAAATACAGTACTGTACAGTATATATTAAAATTACTTAGAAATGAACATTACTTGATAATAAGAAATTATATATGTAAAATGATAAACAATACTACACTGTTTAATTTATGCAGTTACAGTAAAAGGTAAAAAAAAAAAATAGAGTATAATGACTGTCCAAGTCCTGACCAGCAACACACAAGGTCAGGGGTGACAGGTGTGTCAGGGTGAAGGAACACTTCCCCGTCTCCTGATACTGCCCTGGTCCTGGCCAGCAACACACAAGGTCAGGGGTGACAGGTGTGTCAGGGTGAAGGAACACTTCCCCGTCTCCTGACACTGCCCCGGTCCTGGCCAGCAACACACAAGGTCAGGGGTGACAGGTGTGTCAGGGTGAAGGAACACTTCCCCGTCTCCTGACACTGCCCCGGTCCTGGCCAGCAACACACAAGGTCAGGGGGTAAGTGTTTACTCTCCTAATGACACGTCCAAGGCTGCCTTATATTACAAGAAAAGTAAGCTAAATGGGTATTGTCTGTGTCCAAATTAACGTAGCAGCAGCAAGCATTTGAGAGGAAACACAAAAGCTACATAAAATGGGCCAAGAACAGAGAATTCGTTATAAATTAGGTTAATTAAGGACTCACAGAGTTGGTCCCTCCCGAGTCCGGAGAGTAAACACAAACAGCTGATCCACAGTATTCCTCCGCGTACTCAAATCTATACACAAATAAGTACTCATTGAACGAGTTATTCTTATTATTTGCTCATTAAATTTCATTTGTGCCAGTAATTCAAAGCCTACTTGTGTAGTAACATGTTAATAGCTCTTGCTTTCAATTAAACAATAATTATTAAACTTTCAAAAATTTCAGATATTATATTATCTGATTATGTGAATTCTTATCTTCAGTAAGTATATCGCTATTAAAGTAACCATTTGCCAAGCAATATTACTAAAATACATAAAAAAGCAATAGCAGTAAGGAAAATAGAAGGTGAAGGATTTGAGACTAGTGAGGGCGGCGGAGGCGCTGGGGAGGGGAGGGTGCGAGGCGGCACCAGCTGGGGCGGGGGCGGCCAGCTGACAGTTCACAACATTCACCCAAAACTCACTTTTTAATTCTTTCCAATATGTGCCTTTGTGAAGCATCGTGAACGCCTAACTTAACTTTCCCCAGCTCCGTTAAGGGTAAGTGTTGAATTGTGACCGATAAGCTTTGCGTGTTATTTAATATAAACAGAAAATAAATAGAAAGATAAATGAAAGTGCCTATTAAACTAAGTCAAGAGTGTAGTAATTACGGTTCTTCCTCTCTTACTGGGAGTGTTGTGGGGGAGTGTTGTGGGGAGGGGGGTGTTGTGTGGAGTGTTGTGGGGGTGTTGTGTGGAGTGTTGTGGGGGTGTTGTGTGGAGTGTTGTGGGGGTGTTGTGGGGGTGTTGTGGGGGAGTGTTGGAGGGGGAGGTGTTGTGGGGTAGTGTTGAGGGGGAAGGTGTTGTGGGGTAGTGTTGAGGGGGAAGGTGTTGTGGGGGGGTGTTGTGTTGTGTGGAGTGTTGTGGGGGTGTTGTGGGGGAGTGTTGGGAGGGTGTTGTGGGGAGTGTTGTAGGGGAGTGTTGGGGTGAGTGTTGCGGGGGTGAGTGTTGTCGGGTGTGGGAGGGTGAGGGAGGGGGATTTGTAATTACCTAAGTGTAGTTACAGGATGAGAGCTACGCTCGTGGTGTCCCGTCTTCCCAGCACTCTTTGTCATATAACGCTTTGAAACTGCTGACGGTCTTGGCCTCCACCACCTTCATTGTAACATTGTAGCACTTCAATGTCACCATTGTAACACTGTAATGGTGTTTTGTTTAGTTTTATTTAATATGTACACAGAGTACATGAGTCACAGACAAGTTTTGAGAGGTGCCAGGTTGGCGGCCCCTGGGAATTAAGAAACACACCTCTAAGCGTTAATGACCTCAAGGCGACCTGAGGTCAGCTCGGGCGAATTTCACCTTGCTTCTGCTAATCTGATAATTGTAGCCTGATAGCCGGGTAGATCCGTCAAACATGCCGACATTTAAGGGGTGGCTTGGTAGAGGGCCTGGGGCTATCTACTTGTGGGCGGAGTTAGCTAGTTGGTCACCAAATAAATACTCAGGGAGCTGTAGATTCCAGAGTGATAAGCAATAGGAGAGCAGCCCAGCAGAGCAGAGCAAAGGATAGCATAGCCAGGCAGGCTGTCAGCCGAACGGTGGGGGGGGGGCATCTGTCAACTGCAGACCCTCCCCTCCTCTCTATCCAGCTATAGGCAAACACTTTGTGAGTTGAACATGATAGGTGACTTATTTCGTGTACTAAGATGTTGTGTGATCTCTAGGGGCAGACAGCTGTAGTGACTCTCAAAATTCTGTGTGGTGGCTCCCATTGTTTACCTGATGTGCCGGTGTCCCACCCCTATATTTCTTCCTTCCCAGCTTAAAAAAGAGTCATATCTCCGTAACCTAAGTGTTCTCTGATGTTCAGGGAACATTTTCATGTGTGGGAAAGCGTGGAGCGTGATTAAACTGGCTGCAAATGGCCAGCTAAGTTTGATAATGAAAGGGGCTTACGCCTTTTGGGGCACAAGGTGGCGACGGGCCATTCTGTTTCCCGCCAAGATGTCGTGACTCCTCCCGGCACCTTATTGGTCAGGTGAGGTCACGTGCCGGAAGTGACCAATGACGAGAGCCCTCGGGTGGTGTGACGTCACGAGGCGGAGGGCTCTCGGGGCGGCTGGCGCCTGGGCAGGAGAGAGTACGTCACGAGCCGCCATAGAGTGATGACGCGCTCGAATGAGCTCCGGATCTAGAGAGCCCTTACCAGTAGATTTAAGCTTCATTTCGATACGGCAGACAGTCTGGGAGGCCAGTGGTACCAGGAACTGAGGGGCTAAGACCTGTGGGGGCAACCCCAACCACAGGTAGGAAGGAAGGAACTTTGACACTGAACATAATGAACCTTCAGTTCGATTGCTTGAATTCTGATATTTATCATGCTAATACTTGATTCACTTTTGATTTGATTTTAACTGTGTTCCCGAGTTCTTGGAATTTCTGATATATGCAAACTAGAGTGTAGAGTACTCTTGAGTTAGTGACTAAAAGAATCTTGCCTGGAAACATGATTCCAGTTGACACATACTAATAACATCTTTTGATATACAGACAAGTTCCATTCCCTGTCTTGTATGTACTGACTAGAATGGATGGTGGCAGCACTTCTACTGTCTACGGTAAAAACACGGTAGGTACGGTAAAAATGAGGGGAGGCCAGTGGTACCAGGAACTGAGGGGCTAAGACCTGTGGGGGCAACCCCAACCACAGGTAGGAAGGAAGGAACTTTGACACTGAACATAATGAACCTTCAGTTCGATTGCTTGAATTCTGATATTTATCATGCTAATACTTGATTCACTTTTGATTTGATTTTAACTGTGTTCCCGAGTTCTTGGAATTTCTGATATATGCAAACTAGAGTGTAGAGTACTCTTGAGTTAGTGACTAAAAGAATCTTGCCTGGAAACATGATTCCAGTTGACACATACTAATAACATCTTTTGATATACAGCGAAGTTCCATTCCCTGTCTTGTATGTACTGACTAGAATGGATGGTGGCAGCACTTCTACTGTCTACCCTTCTTCCTACTCCCTCTCCTCTCCCTCTGCCACTCTCCCCCTTTCACCTGACGACCCTCCTTACCCCTCCCACCTACTCCTCCCACCTCTCTACCTCTCTCACCCCAAACCCCCCACTAATTACTTCATTATCCATTTCTTTCCTTTCGGTTCTCTTATACGTTTGTGGCAGTGGAATGTTCTAGAGTTCTCTAGAGTTGCGGGTAGCAGATCAGGTACAATGCCTGGTGGGTGTAGCACCTAGGTAATCAAATACCTAGGTTACAAGGTGTTGAACTGGAGAGGTTGCAGTAGGAACTCTAGGGGAACTCTAGAAGAGTTAACTGGAGGGCGGGATAATGAACTAAAGAGAACTGTTTCACCCGTCCTCGTTAGTTAACTGGGGGCGGAATGATGGACTAAAGAGACTTATTTCCCCCCACCCTAGTTACAGAGTGAGGGAGGGTGAGGGAGGGGAGGGTGACATAGCCGCCAACACTACAATGATGCCAGCTTTGTACAGAGCACCTGTGCACTCCTAGTTATAAGACTTATCTTCCCTAATTTCTCTTCTCATTTTGCCATTTCAACAGGTCAAGTGGAACGGTCCAGTGGCCCATGCGGTTACCTATAAAATCTGGGGGGCCAATTGATCTGGGCATCTGTTCACCCTTGTAGCAGGGTTAGGCTGTCTTAGGGGACATTCTGTCCACACATAGGAGAATAAGTCACTGAGGGCTACCCTCTGCCAGTCCCAACCAATCAAGTGGAAGGACGGGGGTGCATAGCCCCCAGCTTAGAGCTTATTCTTACGAAGAGAAAATAACACAACACACCATGGTCCAGTATGGTAATATCACAACACACCTGAGTGATTGTGAGGTGATGGTGATATAGCAGTGATAGTAATATAATAAAAATAGTGTGATAGTGAGGTGATGGTGATATAGCAGTGATGGTGAGGTAGTGGTGCTGTAGCAGTGATAGTGATATAACGGTGAATGTAAGGAGGAAATCTATCAGTGTAAGGTGATAATGCAGAGAAAATGAAATGATGTTGGTGTAGCAGTGATAGTGTTATGTGATAGTGAGCTATTGGTGATATAACCAATCAACCAATCAAGTGGAAGGACGGGGTGCATAGCCCCCAGCTTAGGAGAGCTTATTCTTAGGAAGAGAAAAGAAGAGGGAAGCAAGCAAACAAGATAGAATGAACAGGAACTGAGACAATGAGAGGACACAGAGTAAAAATCCGCCCCCTTGCGAGGGGACCGGCTATGAGATACAGTATGAACTAGCAAATGTTATCCACTCTCAAGGTAGGGTTTTTCTAAACTAATACCCACAAAGGACTCCTCATTCATAGCACTATGCTACCAGGATGAAGAGGTTGACACAGTCATCAAGGGAGAAAATATACGTATGTTGAGGGATAAACGTTTCCAGGTCATTATTCCCCCTGAGCTGCAGGCCAGGAAGACAATAGTCCTGAAGAGACTCCATGCATCACTTACTTAACCATACTCCTGAAAATATTAAACGTGACATAAAAGATATCCTGTATGTATCAGAGGAATGATTGGGCCAAGGTAGAAGAAGTAATTCTCATGCCGAATTTGTCTACCATGATGAAAATAAGATTCAAAGAAATATCCAAAAAAAGCCCTCAGCCAAGGTATCTATTCCCACTACTATCATCTTAGCACGGATAACTACAACCTTGAGCAGGACGAATTCTATAACATAACCCCTGTTGGACATGCTATAAATATGACCACACAGTCGCGGAGTGCCAACAGTCACAGTATGTTCAGAATGTGCCGGGCAGGGGACACATATTCAGAGACTGCACGAATAAATCAATCCCCAAATGTCTCAACTGTGAGGGTCCCCACCGCACGCTGGCATCAATCTGTCCCACTAGGAAGAACATCCTAAAACAAAAAAGGGCCGAAGCCGCAGCCGAAAAGACAGCAATGGCCAACAATACCTATGCAGGTATAACTACCACCATAGTTATACCTATGCAGGTATAACTACCACCAATGCTTGGTCA